TGGTTGATGACATCTTTACAATGATTGCTGAGTTTAAAACCGTCGTCTCGGTTCAAATTGTGTCTGTGTCTGTATATATGAATGGCTTCGTGAACGAATCTTTGTCTGTATATATGGATGGCTTCGTGAACGAATCTGTGTCTGTATATACGAATGGCTTCGTGAACGAATCTTTGTATATACGGATGGCTTGGTGAACGAATCTGTGTTGATAGCTAGACGGCTTGCAAAGCACCATCGTCTTAGAGAAATCAATTTCACGTGAGCCAGCCGCATTAAAGTAATGATCAGCCACGGCCGAAGTACTGGTCCTGCCGTGTTTCAGATCTGCCATTCAAATGCGTTGAGATGCAAGGTAAAGGCCTCTGAAACCCCCAGGCGTATAGGCAGGCGCTATATCAGGAACATACGTGTGTGTTGAACTTCTTTCGCGCCGTACGGAGCCAACCGCGCTAATCAGAGGTATGGGGGGGAAGGGCAACAGACTAAACTAAACAACAACAACTTTCAGTTCTGAATAAATTAGTGTTCCCATCGAGATGATGTCAAGTGCGTAGCTCCCAGTTGATTCCGAATATTGGAAGGCAAGGAAGAGGCGTTCCAGACGGCCGCAGCAGCGCGTCTGGAAGCGCCGCGCGACGATGCGGTGACCGCCGTCTGTGTCCCACGGACAAAAAGAGTCGGCGGCGGATTGGGGAGGGGGCCTTCCTTCGACCTTCATCTCCCGAGGGCGCATCCTGGCTCCTCCCCCCCCCCCCCCCTTCTATATATAATCTCGTGTCTCTTAGGGCTCTCTTCACTTGATACAGTAATTTTGCTGTGACGGTTCCACCTGAAGACGGAAGCTTGTGTTGCCTCCGAAACGTCGAGATTGAATTTATTTTAATTTTTATCACCTACGTGACTTTACCGAAAAAAACAAAGAGTACGAATCCTTGCAGTCACGAAAATTTTAAATCTAGAATTAGTGTACCGGGACACCAATTTAACGCTGGCGGAGATCCAGAACCGGTTCGGAGAATCGCCACCGATGTCGGCCTGGGCGTGGAATCGAACCCCGGGGCGGCGAGATCCGCGTGGCAGCAGCGCTGTGACACGGCCGCTCCCCAACACGCGACGCGCTCCACTCTCGATGACTCGCTCCAGAATTTGCTTGATTAATAAATGGCTGCTCAATAATGTCAGTCTGGAAAGCATAGCGCTGTAAACCCATCACGGTTTACCCCGTGTTCTTGTACGGGGAAATTGAGTTTTCAGGTCCATACGGCGTACGGCTGTTTCAATGCGGGATTTGTAGGATGAACGTTGAGATTTAGAAGAGGCACGGGGTGAGCAACGAGGTCTGAATTGGTCTGTGATAACGTAGGGGCACTGATAAGGGGTTGACAGGTATGCTATACACTACACTATACACTACACTATACACTACTATACACTACACTACATTACTATACACTACACTATACACTACTATACACTACTATACACTACATTACTATACACTACACTATACACTACTATACACTATACTACATTACTAAACACTACACACTACACTATACCATACCTGGCAACCCATCACGGTTTACCCCGTATTCTTGTACGGGGAAGTTTAGTTTTCAGGTCATAAGGGGCACGGGGTGACCAATAAGGTCTAAATTGGTCTGTAGTAATGTAGGGGCACTGATAAGGGGTTGACAGCTATGGGAACGCCGCTGGGGTGATGGACTCAAACCTGATTTTAATTGACACGCGGGGCGACAATGATCGGAGGTCTCCAAAGACAAAGATCCCCCGTATAGCCTACAGCAGGCTGTTGGGGCAAGTGCTGTTAGTGAGCACCTATTAAGGACAGCGCGGCGCACGAGGGGGTGGGTGGCCAGCACCACGCCCGACCGCCTTTGTCTCCCCAATGCTGCAGTTTACGGATGAGTCGACCTAGGAGAGGCCCGGGACAAGCTCAAATATTCGCTGGCACTGTTATTGGTCGTGAGCGGGAATCGAACGCTACGAACCTCTACACTACTGCGCCCCATACAACAAACACAAAGATCCTCCGTGTAGCCTTAACAGACTGTAGGGGCAAGTGCTGTTAGCGAGCACCTATGAAGGCCGGCATGGCCCACGAGGGGGTGGGTGGCCAGCACCACGCCCGACCGCCTTTGTCTCCCCGGTGGCGATGTTTACACACCGCACCAGGTACTCATTTGAGGCTGAGTCGACCTAGGGGAGACCCAGGATCAGTTCAGGATAATCGTCGCTGGTGTTGGCCGCAAGCGGGAATCAAATTATCGTCACCGAGTTCGTAGCGCAGCATGCTGACCACTACACCCACCGCTCCCCACAAAGACAAAAGAACCCCCGTATAGCCTTAACAGACTCTAGGAGCAAGTGTCGTTAGCGAGCACACACACACACACGCACACACGCACAGCGACGCACACTCTCACACTCATTCGCTCACCACCCCCCACCCCAACCATCACCCGCCCACCCGCCATCACGCCCAGCGAGCGATTCGCGTCAACCCCCGACGGAGCCGGCCCCATCGGGCTGAGCCACGGCCGAGGAGCTGGGGGGGGGGGGGGCGGCCGCTTACGCACGACCAGTGACGCGCGCTGCGCCACACGCCACTCGCGGGAGCCGCGCGTGACGCGGGGGGGCCCTCTCCACGTCCCCCGCGACGTGGCCCAGACGCCGCCTGTTCCCGCCGCCTCCGGCTAAGGTTGCAACGCGCGCCCCAATTATAGCCGCGACCTCCGCCTGACTCCCACTCACCTCAGAGAGCGGCGGGCTGCTGGGGCGGCGGTGGTGGGCCGACCTCACGCGCCCCCCCCGGCGTGCGCGTGTGTGCGGCTGTGAGTCGTGTGTTATGGGGAGCGGTGGTGTAGCGGTCAGCGCTACGCCGCGCTATGAACCCGGCGACCCGGGTTGGATTCCCGCTCACGGCCAACATCGGTGACGATTGTCTGAACCGGTCCTGGGACTCCCCTAGGTCGACTCAGCCTCAAATGAGTACCTGGTGCAGTGTGTAAACATCGTCACCGGGGAGACAAAGTCGGCCGGGCGTGGTGTTGGCCACCCACCCCCTCGTGTGCCGTGCAAGTGAAGAGTCAACAGAGTCAGGCTGTATTGATTTGTACTGCGTGGAATCCGATGAGCTTCAAAACTCGTTTTCACAGATGTCCAGTTGCGGCCTGGGGTTTGTATTTTCGCGATGTAACCCGCAAAAAAACTCTTCATTCTGGATAATGAGGGATTTCTTTTTTTGCGCGTGCGTGTGCTTTAGCTGGAAAGCATCTGACGCACGTATTTGGGCATTCGACGTCTCCGCCAGCGGCCACGGCGCTTCTCTCCGCTGCTGGATGGCGGCCTCCCCCGAGCCGCCACGCGGATTCAACGGCTCCCGTCTCCCTCCGCGTGGAGGCCACCATTCGCTCTCGCCACGCGGCGCAGTTCCCGCTTATCCCGAGCGCCGTTGTTGTTGTTGCTGCTGGTGTCGTGGTCATCGCCGCGTCGCACGTTAACACGCGGTGAGGAAAGGCGGCGACTCCGTCGCGAGCGCTGGAGTCGCCCGGTCACCGGCCGGGCGGTGACGCACGCTTGGCCCGGTTGCAGGTGCGGTGTTTTTTTCCCGTTTCACAACAACAGCGCCGATGCCGACGCCACCGCCGCCAGTGTCAGGACTCGGAGAAAATACAACAACCTCCCCCCCCACGCCGCCCCCCCACGCCGCCCCCCCCCAAATGCCCCCCCCCCACGCATGGCAACAGCAACTCCCTCGCTGCGGTCACCAAGGGGGAATTAACATCGCGGCAAATATGACGCACATTCATCAAGTGGCTGGAAAAATAAATAAACGACATTTGATCTCCGCGCAGGTTTTCGGGTCGCATTGCCGCCGCCGCCGCGTCGTTCGACAACGGTGCCTCCGACGTTTCGCTCCACGCGCCGCGACCTTATGCGGGAACTCGACTTGAATGTTGCGTTCCGTCAGACCGCGGGGCTTTCCCCAACGAATGCCATCACGGAATATTACGCGGCGGCAGCAGCAGCAGTTAATTATTACAGAATAATAAATCTCCATAAAGACTCGGCACTCCTGCGCCGAGTTAGGAGGAGTGCTCCTGCCAATAACACCCAGAAAGCCAGTGAGAATTCTGCCGAATAAAAACATCACCGCGCCGCTACGTGCACGAAACTCTCCGGCACGTGCCGCGACAGGAACTGCTGCAAGATCCGACGCCGCATCCGTCTGGTGCCCGTCGAGCAGCATTGGCTTCCAAACGGACGCGTGAATAAGAAGGTCGCCCTCATTACGCACACAAAGCGCTCGCCGCAAATCAACCGCGGTAGTTCGCTGATCTCGTCAAGGAGCATAAACCACCATCACACGACAAAGATCCCCAATATAGCCTGAATAGACTGTAGGGGCAAGTGCTGTTAAGCGAGCACCTGTGAAGGCCGGAACGGCACGAGAGTGGGTGGGTGGCCAGCACCACGCCCGACCGCCTTTGTCTCCCTAGTGGCGAGCACAAACCACCATCACGCGAACTCCCCCCAGACCACAACGCAAGCAGGACGGCTGCTTGCGTTGTGGCCGAAACGTCGTGAGAATTTGTATTATGTTTTATATTTCCCTTCTATGTGACTTTACCGAACGAACAAAGAATATGAATCCCTGCAGTCACGAAAGATTTAAATCGAAAAATAAAATCCCCCCAGACCTCCGATTAGCACGGTTGGCTACGTACGGCGCAAAAGAAGTTGAACGTAGTACCGACGACTCCTTTTCAGGCAGCTCCTGCCAAGCTTTGTGCACTAGGGGCGTGGCGAGGCCAACACGCACACATTCCATAAGGCCGACCGCGGCTGATGAGATCCAGAGGGTCGCTGCCAGTCTGTTGAGCAGCAGAGGGCCTCAAGCGCCGGGTGGCAGACCGAGGCAGAGGAGGTAGCAAAAGGCTTCAGGGGCCGGGGGTTGAACCAGGTTCACTCACCTCATCTGGCTGGCCATGTGGCTTGGTCACGGTCGGCAGACTCGGACGTCCGGGTCTGCCGATCTTCCGCCACTGCCTCTTCCCTCCTGCCAAACGGGCAGCGGCGCACAAAGGGGGAAACGAATCAATGACGGATCGACGCTGTTGTGCATGCACGTGTGTGTGTGTGTGTCGGACGCCCTACTTCCACCGGACACGGGGAAAACAAATGAAATTGTCCGGTAAATGAACGCGCCGATGTATGTGTGGGCCCCGCGCACACCGCTGCATTGAAAGGACGATCCACACGCGCCGGACGTGCTGGTTGCATCATCAGGCAAATTCCCAATGATGATGATGATGCCGACGATTGTAACTTACCGGCGAAACGTCGGTACCTGGATCGTTGAGCGCATTTGGATCGCTCCTCCCGCACGGCGGTGGTGGTACTCAAGCAATCATAATAAATCGGCGCGCGTGTTCACGTCACAACTGTGTTCATGAGGCCGTCGGGCGGTGGATTGCGTACGACAAAACAACAAAGACAAAGATCCCCAATATAGCCTGAACAGACTGTAGGGGCAAGTGCTGTTAGCGAGCACCTATAAAGGCCGTAACGGCACGAGAGTGGATGGGTGGCCAGCACCACGCCCAACCATATTTGTCTCCCCAGTGGCGATGTTTACACACCACACCGGGTACTCATTTAAGGCTAAATCAACCTAAATGATGCCCAGGACCGGTTCAGATATTTGCCAACGGTGTCGGCCGTGAGCAGGAATCGAACTCGGGTCGCCGGGTTCGTAGCGTAACGTGCTAACCACTACACTATCGCTCCCCACGACACACACAGACACACACACAGACACACACACACACAACACACACACCACACACACAGTTACACAGACACACACACACAGACACACACACAGACACACACACAACACACGCACCACACACACACAATCACACAGACACACACAACACACGCACCACACACACACAATCACACAGACACACACACACACAAGCGCGCACGGCATTGCACTCACGCAGCAAACCGTGACCTCGAAATAATCGATACGTGAATCACGATAACATTGGCGGCCAGGGCCTCCGACGTGCTGCAATCAATGAAGGGTTTCCGCGTCCCCAGGGCGAACCTCGGCCTGAAGTGAGCAACGCCGGTGTGGTGAATCCGTGACTTTCATCGGCACTGGACAGCCACCCTTGCGACACGCGCGCGTGCGGCCTCACGTGCCGATTCACTCGCGGGGGAGAGGGCCTCCCCCCCCCCCCCCCCCCCCCCCCAGCGGCAAGCATGCGGGTCGGGGCAAGTTACATTTGAGCATCCTCCGCACGCGTTGGTCGGCGCGGGTTGGCGAAGGTGGGGAGCATGGACGTCGGAGCGCGGTGCAGTACAGCATCTCGCCACGGTGGGCGAGATGCTAACCACCTCGCGTGGTACACAGGAGGTCGTGGGTTCGATCCCGACCCTGACGCCTGCTGTATATTTGTAGTTTGCGTGTCTCTCTCTCTCCCCGTGGTCGCGTGGATTTTTCTCCGGACCCTCCGGTTTTTCCCTCCACGTTTAGAATCAACGTCGCCGCGCGTTCAGAGCATTCGGCTGCTAGAAATGTCCACGTGATGATGATGATCAGCCGCCACCCGTGGAGCTATCACTTGTGACCAGGTCCGCTTCTAAAATAAAGCTGCAAAGTTCGGTGGACCTTGCCTGGCAAAATAACAAAACAGTCTCGATTTGAAGCTTTCGTGACTGCAGGAATCCAGACTCTTTGGTTCTTTCGGTAAAGTCACGTGGGTAGAAATAAAATAAAATCAAACAAATCACGACGTTTCAAAGAGGCCTGATGAGGCCTGATGACGACCGCTTGTGTTGCGATCGAAACGCCGTGATTTGTTTTATTTGATTTCTAACCACGTGACTTTACCAAAGTAAAAAAAATAGTTTCGTTTTAGTTTCTATGCACTTCATCACGTGCCGGTCACTCGCCCGTTCAATCGCTACCCAGGGCCAAGGTTAAATGGGGGGCCTGCGTCTTGCATGGCTTGTTGTGTGTCTGCACATACATGTGTCTGCACATACACGTGTCTGCACATACACGTGTCTGCACATACACGTGTCTGCACATACATGTGTCTGCACATACACGTGTCTGCACATACGTGTGTCTGCACATACGTGTGTCTGCACATACGTGTGTCTGCACATACGTGTGTCTGCACATACATGTGCCGGGCATGACACTGGGGATGGGGTAGATGGGGGGGGGAGGGAAGCTGTTGCCGCACTGCGTCACGAACCCGGCGACCCGAGTTAGATTCCCAACATCGGTGACGAAAACTGAACCGGTCCCGGGCCTCTCCCGGTGTTCAACTCGGCCTCATGAACACCCCGGTGCGGTCTCATAAACATCGGTGCTAGGGAGACAAAGGTGGCCGAGCGTGGCGGTGGGCCGCCCCTCGTGTGCCACGTCGGCCTGGACAGGTGCTTGCTAACGGCACTTGTCCCGACAGTCGGTATGAGAAGGTCTATCAGGGGCATGTTGATCTTCGTGTGCGTTTCTTTTTACCGGGTTTGTAGTCGGAGTCTTCGCTACAGCTCGAGTAGCTGCCCCTCTTCATCCTGGTCTGCGCATCGCAGACAAACGCACGCACGCACGCACATACACGCACACACGCACACACACGCACACACACACAAGAGGTTGTTAGGCAAAACCAAAGTGCGCAGAAGTGTCCCACAAGTCGCCGCTCGGCGTCACCGGTGACATTGATCATCGCGACCGCGCCAGGGCCGGTGCACACAAGTACGCTGCGTGTGTGTGGACAGGGTTGAGTGGGGTGACGGTCGCGTAGCGGTTAACGCGCTGCGCTACGAACCCGGCGACCCCATTTTGACTCCCGCTCACGGCCGACACGGGTGGCGATTATCCGAACCGGTCCTGGGCCTCCGCTAGGTCGACTCAGCCTCAGATGAGTACCTGGTGCGGTGTGTAGTAAACATCGCCACTGGGGAGACAAAGGCGGCCGGGCGTGGTGCTGCTCACCCACCCCCTGGTGTGCCGTGCCGGCCTTCATAGGTGCTGCTCGCTAACAGCACTTGCCCCAGCAGTCTGTTAACACGTTAGAGGGGTTCTTTGCCTCTGTGTATACTGCTGGGCAAAAGCCTCTCCATGCCGTATCGGTAAAGGGGGTTGTGTGACCATACTTCACTAAGCTGGTCAGTCAGCGCACGCTGGTGTCTGTATGTTCAACTTCGCGGGGCCCCAGAACCGGCAGATATCACTCATCACTGGTCTGGTGTCCAGTGTGTTGTCCCATCAGCACGGTTGGCTAGAGACGGTGCGAAGGAAGTTGAACGTACATACTACACTATACTACTCTACACTACGCTATATACTACACTATACACTACTATATAAAAAAACTACACTATACACTACTATACACTACACTATACACTACTATACACTACACACTACACTACACACTACATTACTCTACACTACACACACTACGCTATATACGTCACCATACACTACTATCTATATATATAAAATCGTTCATGTCTGTGTGTCTGTGTGTGTGTGTGTGTATTTCGGCCCATACGCACTTTCATTGGACGGCGGTTGCCCCTGGCAACGAGTAGCAACTTTTCTCCGCGGGGTGGACGCCATTTTTAATAGCGCGGCGGGGGGGGGGGGGACCGGCACCCGTACCCAGCGTTCGCCGGGTGGGAAAATCAGGCAAGGCGGGAGGCTCTGCACGGTGCTAGGCCTCGACACCCAACACGCCACTCTGAGGTAAATTCATACAAATTTTACGTCCTCTACAGAGTGGCGAGGGAGGCAGAGTGGCGAGGGAGGGACTCAGCCTCAAAACGAGTAACTGGTGTGGCGTATTAACATCGCCACTGGGGAGACAAAGGCGGCCGGGCGTGGTGGATACAAGTCCCGGGCAAAGCCGGGTCATGACTATGTGTGTATGTGTTTATGTGTATGTCTGTGTGTCTGTATGTATGTGTGTATGTATGTGTCTGTATGTGTTTGTGTGTATGTATGTGTGTGTCTGTATGTATGTGTGTGTGTATTGTGTATGTGTCTATGTATGTATGTGTGTGTTTGTATGTATGTGTATGTCTGTGTGTATGCATGTGTGTGTATGTGTTTGTGTGTATGTGCGTGTATGTATGTGTGTGTATTCTGCAGCAAGCGCGTGTATGTGTACCTATGGACGCGCGCGCGTGTGTTGTGTAGGGGGAACGGTAGTGTAGTGCTTAGCGTGCTGCCTGTGTCTATGTGTGTCTGTGTGTGTGTCTGTGTGTGTGTGTCTGTGTGTGTGTCTGTGTGTGTGCGTGTGTGGTGTGTAGGAGGAACGGTAGTGTAGTGCTTAGCGTGCTGCCTGTGTGTGTCTGTGTGTGTGTGTCTGTGTTTGTGTGTCTGTGTGTGTGTGTCTGTGTGTGTGTGTGTCTGTGTGTGTGTCTGTGTGTGTGCGTGTGTGGTGTGTGGGGAGCGGTAGTGTAGTGGTTAGCGTGCTGTCTGTGTGTCTGTGTGTGTGTGTCTGTCTGTGTGTTCTGTGTGTGTGTCTGTGTGTGTGCGTGTGTGGTGTGTGGGGAGCGGTAGTGTAGTGGTTAGCGTGCTGTCTGTGTGTCTGTCTGTGTCTGTCTGTGTGTTTCTGCGTGTGTCTGTGTGTGTGTCTGTGCGTCTGTGTGTGTGAGGAGCGGTGGGTGTAGTGGTTAACGCTACGCTGCGCTACCAACCCGGCGAACCGAGTTAGATTCCCGCTCATGGCCACCACCGATCAAGATTATTTGAACCTCCCATAGGTCGACTCAGCCTCAAACGAGTAACTGGTATGGCGTATTAACATCGCCACTGGGGAGACAAAGGCGGCCGGCCGTGGTGGATACAAGTCCCGGGCGAAGCCGGGTAGTACAGCTAGTACTACTATACACTACACTATACACTACACTATACACTACCATACACGACACTACTATACGTTACACTACACACACTACGCTATAGACTACACTATACAATACTATACACTACTATACACACACTACACTACACATTACACTACTGTACACTACACATACTACGCTATATACTACACTATACACTACTATACACTACACACACTACATTATACACTACTATACCCTACACTACACACGCTATACAATACGCTATACAATACGCTGTACACTACACCATACTAAATTGAAAACCCATTTCTTTAGAACTGCTCTTTGTCGTTAGTTTGCTGTCCATCCCTGCCCACCCCACACCTCCGGTGAGCACGGCTGGTTCCGTACGGTGCGGAATCATTTCAACTTGCAAACATTCACGTCTCCTGCGACAGACACAGAGACACACACGCATGCACACGCACGCACGTAGGTGCGTGCGTGTGCGCGCGACCGGGGAATCGAATCTCAGTTCGTCAGATCCATCGCAGCTTCCCTCGCGTTGGCATCAATTGTCGTGAGCGGCGTCAGCACGATCGCGCGGGAGTCATGGAAATGTTCTCCGTGGGGATGATGCCCGTGTCTCACGAGAAGCCTTCGGCGTGGCAAGAAGACCGACGGTTGTGGATGTGCCGCAGGGTGGTGATGGGTGTAGAGTGGTGATGGGTGTAGCGTGGTTATGGGTGTAGGGTGGTTATGGGTGTAGAGTGGTGATGAGTGTAGAGTGGTTATGGGTGTAGCGTGGTGATGGGTGTAGAGTGATTATGGGTGTAGCGTGGTTATGGGTGTAGAGTGGTAATGGGTGTAGAGTGGTTATGGGTGAAGAGTGGTGATGGGTGTAGAGTTGTTATGGGTGTAGGGTGGTGATGGGTGAAGAGTGGTGATGGGTGTAGAGTGGTTATGGGTGTAGGGTGGTTATGGGTGTAGAGTGGTTATGGGTGTAGAGTGGTAATGGGTGTAGAGTGGTGATGGGTGTAGAGTGGTTATGGGTGTAGAGTGGTGATGGGTGTAGAGTGGTGATGGGTGTAGAGTGGTGATGGGTGTAGAGTGGTAATGGGTGTAGAGTGGTGATGGGTGTAGAGTGGTGATGGGTGTAGAGTGGTTATGGGTGTAGAGTGGTTATGGGTGTAGAGTGGTGATGGGTGTAGAGTGGTTATGGGTGTAGAGTGGTGATGGGTGTAGAGTGGTTATGGGTGTAGAGTGGTTATGGGTGTAGAGTGGTGATGGGTGTAGCGTGGTTATGGGTGTAGAGTGGTTATGGGTGTAGAATGGTGATGGGTGTAGCGTGGTTATGGGTGTAGCGTGGTGATGGGTGTAGAGTGGTTATGGGTGTAGGGTGGTTATGGGTGTAGAGTGGTTATGGGTGTAGAGTGGTAATGGGTGTAGAGTGGTGATGGGTGTAGAGTGGTTATGGGTGTAGGGTGGTGATGGGTGTAGAGTGGTTATGGGTGTAGCGTGGTGATGGGTGTAGAGTGGTGATGGGTGCAGCGTGGTGATGGGTGTAGAGTGGTTATGGGTGTAGCGTGGTGATGGGTGTAGAGTGGTGATGGGTGCAGCGTGGTGATGGGTGTAGAGTGGTTATGGGTGTAGAGTGGTTATGGGTGTAGGGTGGTGATGGGTGTAGAGTGGTGATGGGTGTAGAGTGGTTATGGGTGTAGGGTGGTGATGGGTGTAGAGTGGTTATGGGTGTAGCGTGGTGATGGGTGTAGAGTGGTGATGGGTGCAGCGTGGTGATGGGTGTAGAGTGGTTATGGGTGTAGCGTGGTGATGGGTGTAGAGTGGTAATGGGTGTAGAGTGGTTATGGGTGTAGAGTGGTAATGGGTGTAGAGTGGTAATGGGTGTAGAGTGGTTATGGGTGTAGAGTGGTTATGGGTGTAGCGTGGTGATGGGTGTAGAGTGGTAATGGGTGTAGAGTGGTTATGGGTGTAGAGTGGTTATGGGTGTAGAGTGGTTATGGGTGTAGCGTGGTGATGGGTGTAGAGTGGTAATGGGTGTAGAGTGGTTATGGGTGTAGAGTGGTTATGGGTGTAGAGTGGTTATGGGTGTAGAGTGGTTATGGATGTAGAGTGGTGATGGGTGTAGAGTGGTTATGGGTGTAGAGTGGTTATGGGTGTAGCGTGGTTATGGGTGTACGTTTCGCCTCCCAGAGAGCACCCCCACGGTTTCGAGTGACGTTGACGTTTCGATGTCACGGTCACGTTTTTACGTCACATGCGCACGTGGGGTGCACCGATTTTGGCCAATCCGAGCGCTCGTGAGTGGGGGGCTGCGCCGCGCCCCTCGGCCAATCGGTGACGAACATCGCCGAGCGGTTTAGACCTCAACTGGCTTTGTATAATATTCTATGTTTTCTGTCTTTGGGCAGTGGAGAAACAGCTCTCTTGCTGACCAGGTGACATTTGTTTTAACTTATTATTTACAACTTATAAGTGAATTCGATTGACGGTTATTTTATGGTAGTTGTCGGATTAAAAAAAAACCAAAACGTTAACCGGCGGACTTGCTGTCCCCAGGAAAGCTTCACGACCCAGTCTCTAAATCTCGAGTCAGGAGGATGCTGCCACAGTTTGGCAGTAAGTTGAGGGCACGTCTCAGCACCACAGGGGATCGTTTGGCCAACACCAAGGTCACACGGCTACGGCGGGAAGCGTGTGA